GTACCCAGTCTATGACAGGCTTTGGGGTTTCTTTGCCTGAAAAGGCAACAGTGGAGAAAAAAGAAGCATTGTTTATACAAAAATGTTTATGGGAAAATAATGACCTGTTTTTATTTAGAAGTACATGTGGGACTTCTTCTCTGAGGAAGTTTCATACTTAAGGTGTTCTAAGTGAGATGGGGAGTCATACTTTGTTCATTTCTTCATCATGAAATATTTGAAGGCAAATACTGTTCTGATTGATTTTGCATTTTGTGCTGCTTTCTGAAGTGTTCAGCTTTCATAATCTATGACAACTACAGTTTCACCCGGATTGTGTTCCTTGATTGGAGTATTTACAATTTTTCAAAAGAAAGTAACATTCTGCATAAACGGTTCGGAGTTGCCGTGTCCTAGTAGTTTTAAAAATATATATAACTGAACAGATAAATGTCATTGTAGCTGTAGTACTGTACTGGAGTCTGAGGAAGAACAGTGAAAGAAGTAATGCTAACCTTTTGTTCTATTCCTCGAGAGATTTTATGTATTAGAGATTTTTTTTTAAAAAGTGCATGATTGATTTAGGATTTTAATTTGCGGTTGCCGTGGCACAGATTGTCAAATCAGTTTTGCAATGTGATTTCCACGTAGTCAATAAAAATACACATTTGCAATAATAATTTAAATTGGACCTTTCCCAATAACTTCACAGAGAAGTATTCTGAAGATGACAATGCTGAACAATAATGTTCATTGTTTTAATCATTTGGGAACAGAAAATGCCAACAATATGGTGACATTTGCTAAAGATACATGCTTCCAAACTGGTGGATTGGACAAGAGAAGCAACAGAGAGTCGGAGTTTTTAGTGGCTTTGGGAAACTGCCGTTTTGCCATTTACTCCAATGGAAACAGACTTTAGGTTAACATGCTTCTGACATTTCCACTGAGTTGTATTTGTGCTGACATGGAGTATTCTTTATGTCAGGTGAATTGGATTGTAGATGGAGAAAAGAGAATTGAAGGGCAGCATACTGTGTCTGTATAAGTGGGGATGGATTCATTTTTGGACAACCCAGCTAAACCAGGAAAAACAGCAAGGGTAGAACAACAAAAACCAGTGCAGTAGGGGTGGTAACTTGATTGTTATTGTAACAAGTAAAAGAACAGATATGACAGAAAAGGTGGTGGTTTTTAGTAATAACAAAACCTAATCTGACACTTTCAGTAAAAATAAATCCAGTAAGTTCCACACAAACAAAATGAATTGCTACTTCATAGAACATATAATGAGTCTATGGTGATAATTGCTGGAAGAGGTCATGAAGGTAAATAATTCAGAAGTACTTTCTAGAGTACTGGTTAATTTTATGAGTATTAATAATTCTTATAGTTCTGAAACTTTAAATGACAGTGCATACAAATGTGTCCCTCGTGCGTCAGAGCATAAAATGTTAATCAGTAAAGACTTTCCACCTTTCCTTCCTGCTCATGCTCAGCACAGTGCATAGGTGCATCCTTGCAACATTTGCTTCCTATTTGTCTTGGAGCATGGAAGAGTAGCATGGTCATTCAAAGATATCACACCTATAAGTTGATGGTTTGATCAAATACAGCAAACCCTTCATTTATTTAAACATACTTTTACCAATTTACAAAGGAAGATTTTTTCAACTCTTTAAAAAATTAATTTTTCATAATTTACTGTGTAATTTTTCATAATTTACTATATATGGGGAGTAAATGTGTGCTAATAAGAAGGGATGGAGTTAAAACTTCATAAATGGTGACATGTCAGAAATAGACTTGTGAAATTATTATTCAGTTTCAATCTGATTTCACTTTTCTTTGTACTAATACAGAATAACTTTATGAAAACCAGCAAAATATATTCCATAGATCACATTAGAATCATATTTATGGCCTCATGTTTGATCTCTCACCTTTCTATCCTGCAGACAGTGTGTTCCACTAACACATACATATCTGTATATCATAGAATCAGAATGGGTTGGATGGGACCATTAAAGGTCAGGTAGTCCTGCAATGAGCAGGGACATCTTCAGCTAGATCAGTTTGCTCAGAGCCCTGTCCAACCTGACCTTGAATGTTTCTAGGGATGGGGCTTCTACCATCCCTCCGGGCAACCTGTTCAAGTGTTTTACCACCCCCATCATAAAAAATTTTTTCCTTATATCTAATCTCAATCTACCCTCTTTTAGTTTAAAACCATTCCCCCTTGTCCTTTCAGCACATTGTGCTGACTCTCTCCAGTGTACACGGGGGGAACGATACCACAGTGCAGTTAGTAGCATAATACCTGTGGAAAAAATCTAAATTATCATTAGTCCTTTTCTAAAACAAATGGAGCTTCTAGCAGCTGCATGTTTTCTTACGTATTTACATATTTACATATGTAAATGTAAAGCCTGTTTGTTGGTGGTAATAAGTTTGGAACTTGCATTTATTTAAATATGGTGTATTGTCTCCCCTGTGTAGGAACACCCGATGCATTTTCCCAGCTGCTCACTTGCCCGTATTGTGACCGAGGGTACAAGCGTTTTACCTCCCTGAAGGAACACATCAAATATCGCCATGAAAAGAACGAAGATAACTTTAGTTGCTCCCTGTGCAGTTACACGTTTGCGTACAGAACGCAGCTCGACCGCCACATGACATCACACAAATCAGGAAGAGATCCAGTAAGTGGCGTTTGAATTAAGGATTTATTGTTCTCTGTAACAACACTGCGATTTCTTATGTGGGCAAAAATGTGGAGAGCAAGTAAGCTGCAAGCTGTTCACACCAGATTATCTGTGTGCTGAAGTTCCAGTCCCAGAGTGCACACTTTAGCTTGCTGCTCAAGTCAGGCTTTTTTTGTAGCTGTCAGAAGTTGAGATCTGAATTCCCATGTTTTCATTCACCTGTGCAGTATGGTTGGGCTTAAATTTTAGTTTTCAGAAGTTCTTTATTACATTTATAGGTAATTAGTTGGAGTTTTTTCCTGTTCATTGGCTAGCATTGCATAAAAATTATGACTCAAATCTAATTTCGAATCTTTTGTGAAACACTTCCATTTTTCTTTCATAAATCCTGTTTGGATGATTCACAACTTACTGTAGCATTTTTGCCCTTAAGAAACAAATCACTGTGTTGCTTGAACTGTGAGGTACAGTTTTTAAATGCAATTCATGGTAGAAGACAATATACAAATAATGAATGCATAAAAAACAGTGTTTCACTACTAAATGAAGGAACAAAAAAGGCTAAGGATGTTATGAGCTTGTTTTCTCTGGTTCATGGGCTGACCTGAGGGCATGATTCCCTGAAATGCCTTCCATGAGTTAACCATCTGATCACTATGGGAAATCCTGAGATTTTCTTCTTCTATCCCTTTTTTTCTTTTCTTCTTGTATCCCCCACTCTCCCATTATCCATCCCCAGCACATACTTTCGTAGCTTATCAGGGCACTCTAAGGCTCAGGAACCAATTGAAACAATCAGGAATTATCCAGATTAAAAACTGTACAGATTTTCCACCACTAGGTTAAAGGGGCTTGGAGATGTTCCTTTCTGAGGACAGACTAGAAAAATTGATAATCTCCAGAGATGAAACAGGAGACAAACATAACAGAAAGACACAAAACAGAAGGTAAAGTGCTTCAACATTTCTGGTAGCTCACAACTAATATGTATTTTGTTAAACTGAAAGGCTATATCCCAGGGTAAGGGAGATGCTTTTTTACACAGTGTCTATTAACCTCCATTCTACAAAGTATCACTAAGTCCAAGAATGTAACAGGCTTAAAAATTTATTATACATTTTTATACCTGAGCATTCACATTCACAGGTAAATTAAAGAGGTAAAAGAAGTATTGACTATCATGCTGCAAGGATATTACTGTCTCACGGGGTTTGGAATAACCTCACCAGCGTATTCCGGTGTGGCAGTTCTTTTTTATTCAAATATGTTTCCTATGAATATATTTCCTATTTCTGTCTTGCTCTCTTTTTGGCTTGGCTTCCGCTTTAAAAGTTACTGTCACCTTATATACATCTTATATTTCTAACTATAAAACCTATGAGTGCTATTTAAACGATGCTTTTTTGTGAGCTACCACATTTATTTTCAATTTTTTTTTTTGCATTTACAAGCCTAAAAGCAGAAAAATAAAGTAGTTGGGGGGGATAGAAGCCTTTCCCATATTTGCGTGTAGTTTGAATGAAAAGATAAAAAGTAGCAAGTGAGTAAACAGTCTCAGAAGAATTGCTACAAAGGGAAGCTTAAATCGTATTCCTGCAGATATATTTTAATGGGTTTATACTTTTGAAGGCACAATTGTTTGATTAATGTTGTTTTATGAAGTATCTGAAACTCAATATTATACCTATTTTTGTTCTTTTCTCTAGAGCCTTAGCCAGAATTAAAACTACAAAAGTTTAGATATTTGGCAAATTTGAAATATGTATTTGTTTTTGTTATTATTACTAAAGTTGTCGTATCTTCAAAATTGGCTTCATGTGCATGTACATGGTTACATCCTTTGTGTAATGGAAAATGAACTTTTGTCCTTAGTAAGGTATAGACCTATAGTTGTGGATCTTAAACAGCTGCATGTTTAAAACATAATGCCTTATTCTTAAAGAACTTCACCTGAAAGTAGATTATTTGGGTAGCTTTGTTAGCTGGTTAATGTCCAGCATGTGACAATTTTGTAATTGTTCTGTATGAGGAAGCAAGAGCAAAGATAAAATCTGATATAATGAAGGCAGTGAAAGGTGTGTGTGCACACTGGGCCTCCTTCTGAGCCAGGGGGAGATATGCCAAACTGCAGCTACTTGTGCTTCAGTGGAGAGCCTGCACCTTCTTCACTGCTCCCCTGTGCCCCTCATGGCTCCCTTGACTGCTCCTACACCTCTCATGGTTTGTAGGAGGTGATGCTGGGTATGTATGGTCTGCCTTGACACGTGAAGCACTAGAAAAGATTTTGAAGTATGAAAAAGTGCTTCTTAAATTTGGTTGAATTTTTTTCTCATCAGTTTACAAAGCACCTGTAGGTTGTCTTTCAAAATGTCGTAGTGCCATGCACACTGCTGAGAAATGGCAGTTCATGAAGACCGTGGTCAAAACCATCTGTGAAAAAACCCTGATATATCTGTAATTCCTGTCCTCCAAAAAGCTTTTGAGGATTCTTATAATCAATTTTGGTTCTCTGGTGTGAAAAGAGTGACTTCAGTCCTAAGCACACTAAATATTTGATGCAGAGATTTATTAGTTGCTAGTTACAGACCTTAATGCTGATGTTTCTTCTTTCAGTCCTTGAAGGAGTGCAGATGAGTATTCTTTGACTGCTGCAGTTAATTCCTTAATGAGCAGAAAGTGGCAGTTATGTACAGTGTATTAAAAATATATCACACATCACAGACACAAAATATCACACATCACTGGCTTTAACAGTGCTGAAACAGGGAAAACCATTTGAATCTGAGAACGTGAAGGTGAAAGAATATCACAGATAGTGCTTTAGAGAAGTGTTACGATTTCTGAGTTTTAAAGAAGATCCTTCAAGGTAATTCTGAGGAAGTCCCGGATTTATAAAACAGTATAGTATGGACAGCAAGGAAGCTGAATAAAGAATTACAGATATAAGAAGGTAAGGCAAAATAGATTTGGAAACACTACCTAGTAGAAAGCTCGAAGCACCTTATAGCTATGACCAGGAAAACAGGAAACCTCATTAAAAATTTGATAAGATAAATGTGGACTTCCATGCCGTAGGAACAGAACATTAAATTTTAAAGACTGGGGCAGAAACGTTTCTGACAGATTGAATACACACACTGATATTTAGTATGAATATTTATGTAGTCCAGCGTCTGCAGTAACTGTATATATCCTGAGAGCCGCTAACTTGTGTAATCTCAAGTCAAACGGTAGTAACTGATTCTCTGCAGGCTTAAGTAAATCCTGACACAGTTCTCTACACTCAGTGCAGTTGGATCATTAAAGTGAAATGCAGTGAGTCAGCTGCAATCATCTAGAACATCATCTTCAAGGGACTTAGTTAAACAGAGCTGAAAAGCTGTATGGACTAGCAAAAGACAGCTGACAAACCCAGGAATAAGGGTCAAGTGCTAATCAGGATAAGTCAGAGTGGAAACCTCACTGCAGAGCCTGGGAGGAGGCAGGAAGGAGCCCACCCTGGGGAGGATGGGAGCAGTATCTACTGAGAGGTAAAATCTGCAGCTTAACCAAATGCTTATCCCAAGGGAACTGTCAAATTAGAGTACTTGGAAGTAATTTAGGTTATCTTGCTTCAATTTGTCTTCTGTTAACATTTGTAACATATAAAGGAGGACAGGGTGTTGAACGGGAAGGGTTGATAATTTGAACTTCATATCTCAGAGAGCTCAGACTTTCATCCAGCAACCTGCACAGCCATGGGTTCTTCAGATCTGCAGGCATAAGTCAGAACAGGATCATCATCCTGCATTTTTATCCATCCACGTTTCTCCAGTGTGGTTTTCAGCCCACAGTTGTCGTGTCTGCACTCAGGGAAGATCCTTAGCACTCAGTGAGCATCTGCTCCCAGCGCTGCCAACCACAGCAGAACCAAAGTGAGAGGTAGGAGCTCCCAACCATGGTTTCATACCAGAGGAAGCTAATCCCCACCAGCCTGTTGGTGGTGGCTACCCATGGGAAGGCTGTGTCCCCACAGCACATGAATAGTTCCATTAATGAGTTTATGAAATTACTTGCTCTGGTTACCAAAAATCTGCAGCTGCATCCAAATAGTGGTAGAGTATCTTTTTGCCAAGTGAGCTCTACTTAGAAAGGAGCTGCTGGGGTTGTTTTAATAAACAATTTGTTTGAACAGAAAAATTTCTAATTCCTTCATTTCATGTTGGTAATTCAGCTACTTCAACTTCTAAAGTGTGTGTAATTTTTGTCCTTAAAAATGTGTTCATAAAGTTGTACAGTTTGTGATAAAATTATAGATCTTACATATAGATGTCACATATGTACTACATATATTTACATGTCTGTCTTTTGCTTTTTTTAAACTAACAAATAGTGAAGAGATTTGATGTTATGTACTTGGGAAATCCCTCCATATTTTTATTTATTTTGATTTAGTTTTTTGCATTTACTTTGTGAATTAATTGTGGCTGAGGATATCTTTATTGTCACTGAGCTACCTTCTCATGAGCAATCCTGTGACATCATTATATAGAGGAATCCAAGGCCAACAATAAGCACTGGAAGCATGTAAATGGAAAAACCAAGTCAACTGATTAAACTTTAAACAGGCTTTTATAGGCTTTAATGTTTTTCTGTCCTGCATTAAATATTCTGTGGGTGGTGGGCTTGGGGTTTTTCTTGGTGTTTTTGCTTTCACAAGTAGCATTAGCATGCATCCTGGAGCTTCTTACTCACATAACTTCTCAGTGTAAGCTCCATCTGAACTGAGCAGAAGGGGCAACTGTATTTTGGGTTTGTTTTGGTTTTTGTTTTTAGTGTACCACATTTATTCAGAATACACATGTCTCAGTTTTTACCTGATTTGTAATTTGTTTCTTTTTCATGCATTACCCATACCACCTTCAGTCTCTTACAATTATGATTGATTCTTTTCAGTTTTGTATTGCATTTTTTCTCTTACAATGTGAAAATACAAGATGTTTCTCCAACGTGCTGGTCTGTGCAATAATTAAGAATTCTTTCTTACAGAGACATGTGACGCAGTCCAGTGGTAATCGAAAATTCAAGTGCACTGAATGTGGAAAAGCTTTTAAATATAAACATCACCTAAAGGAGCACCTACGAATCCACAGTGGTAAATAAATCAAGCATTGAATTGAGTACTACTGTTGCCATTTTTATTCTTTATAACTTTGATGTGATAGCAGTCTTGTACATCTAAGTTTAAAATGCTAGTGTTTTCCTTATTTTTTTTCTCTTTTGGACACTGAAAGCACTGACTGCAGCCTTCAGCTGTGTGCAGGGAATATGTAGAAAAACTCAAGAGGATTTACATTTGCAGCTTAAGCTCTTACAGTTAAGGAAAACTTGACTTGTGGCAGAAGAAATGGGGACATCCTTCTGGTCCTTTTCACATATCTGTTTTTGATTCAATGTTTGCAGATCAGTCAGTGTGTTATAAGCCTTGCTAGAGAATTTTAACTGATAATGATCAGGACATAAGATCTGTGTGTTCCTACCATGGCTGTGATTGTCACCATTCAAGACTAGTCATATTAAAGTAGAATCAGGACACAGTGACATACAATTTATTTAAAAAGTTCTAATTTATAGAAAATGTTGTCTATAATATATTTTAATATATAGTATAACAATAGGTTAAATGTGGCCACTCAAAAGAGATTCTCAATTTCTGTCTTTAACTGAACTGATAAGTATTGTAGGAAGTTATGGGTAGATTGTACTTGAGTTTGCTACAATAAAATATGCATAGCTTCTTATACAGTTATGATTTGCATTTATTGTAGTTTTTCTTTAGATAATCATATTCTTCTTTTTTCCCATTCTGAAGCAGTTTATGCAGCTTCTGATATTAGTAGTGGTACTATTTGAATGGAGTTTAATGAAATCTGCAATTGTCATATAGACAGAGAAATACTGGAACACATGATCATGTGGGCTCCATCCTATATCTACTAGTGGATCACACACTTATTAAAGGAGCCTTGGATCAGAGCTATAGATGATGTAATTACTCTTACTGTTCAATTCACTGTATGAGATTTTTTTTCCCTAGGTCTGTTTGAGAGATCACTTCAATGTATTCTCTGTGGTTACTATTGTTTGATGAATTTACACTGTAACATAGCAAACTGTTGCATATGCCTTTTTTTTTTTCCCTCTTTCTTTTTCATCTTTAGGAGAGAAGCCATATGAGTGCCCAAACTGCAAGAAACGTTTTTCCCATTCTGGTTCATACAGTTCACACATAAGCAGTAAGAAGTGTATTGGTTTGATGCCCGTGAATGGTCGAGCCCGGACAGGGCTCAAGATGTCTCAGTGCTCCTCCCCTTCCCTTTCTGCATCACCAGGTAGCCCAGCAAGACCACAGATACGACAAAAGATAGAAAACAAACCTTTGCAAGAGCAGCTTCCTCTTAACCAAATTAAAACTGAACCTGTGGATTATGAATTCAAACCCATAGTGGTTGCTTCAGGAATTAATTGTTCAACCCCTTTGCAGAATGGGGTTTTTAGTGGTGGTAGCCCATTGCAGGCAACCAGTTCTCCTCAGGGTGTGGTGCAAGCTGTTGTTCTACCAACAGTAGGTCTGGTGTCTCCCATAAGCATCAATTTAAGTGACATTCAAAATGTACTTAAAGTGGCGGTGGATGGTAATGTAATAAGGCAAGTACTGGAAAACAATCATGTTAATCTTGCGTCCAAAGAACAAGAAACAATCAACAATGCATCTATACAACAACCTGGCCATTCCCTCATTTCAGCTATCAGTCTTCCTTTGGTTGACCAAGATGGGACAACCAAAATTATCATCAACTACAGCTTGGAGCAGCCAAGTCAACTTCAGGTTGTTCCACAAAATCTAAAAAAAGAAAAATCTGTTCCTGCAAATAGTTGCAAAAATGAAAAATTACCAGAAGATCTTACAGTGAAGTCTGAGAAAGATAAGAACTTTGAAGGAGAGACCAATGATAGCACTTGTCTTCTGTGTGATGACTGTCCAGGGGATCTTAATGCACTTCAAGAACTAAAGCACTATGAAACAAAAAGTCCTCCTCAGCTTCCCCAGCCCAGTGGAACAGAAGCTGAGAAACCTGACTCCCCTGTTCTGTCAGAAACTGGGGAGAACAACTTATCTCCTGGTCAGCCACCTTTAAAGAACCTTCTATCGCTCCTAAAAGCGTATTATGCATTAAATGCACAGCCAAGCGCAGAAGAGCTTTCAAAAATAGCAGATTCAGTAAACCTACCACTGGATGTGGTAAAAAAGTGGTTTGAAAAAATGCAGGCTGGACAAATTTCTGTGCCGTCTTCTGGACCATCTTCTCCTGAGCAAGTTAAATTAAGCAGTCCCGCGGATAATGATGATCAAGCAGCAACTACAGATGCGAGCGAACCGCAGAGCAGCACAAATAACTCACAAAATCCTGTCAGTACAACGAAATCTCAGACTTTACCAGGGGGATCAACTCCAAATGGTTCACAGAGTAGCACGCCATCTGCATCGCCACTAAACCTTTCTTCATCCAGAAATTCACAGGGTTTCACGTACACAGCAGAGGGTGTACAAGAAGAGCCACAAATCGAACCTCTTGACCTTTCGCTACCAAAGCAACATGGAGAACTGTTGGAAAGATCTACCATAACTAGTGTTTACCAGAACAGTGTTTATTCTGTCCAAGAAGAACCTTTGAACTTAACTTGTGCAAAAAAAGAACCACAAAAGGACAACAGTGTTACAGACTCTGATCCTATTGTAAATGTAATCCCACCAAGTGCCAATCCCATAAATATTGCTATACCTACAGTCACTGCCCAGTTACCTACAATTGTTGCCATTGCTGACCAGAACAGTGTTCCATGCTTGAGAGCTCTCGCTGCCAATAAGCAAACCATTTTGATTCCACAGGTGGCTTACACATACTCTACTACAGTTAGTCCTGCAGTTCATGAGACACCACCAAAACAGATCCAAGCCAATGGAAATCAGGTACTTCGGTCCCTGTATTCCTCTGTGATGTATGTATTATATATTCAATCTGTATCCATACTGAACTAACAGAAAACTATCAGGATAAATTAAACAAAAATATAAATACAAGCTACTGATTGTAAATAGGTAATAGATGTTACTGTTAAGCCTTCTGCAAAGCTAGTTAGCTCAGGCAGCTTGAGTCCAGACTAACAGAAACTATTGTGCATGAACTACTCAGTTCTTCACTATATTTAATTTTCTAGGACATTAGTGCTCACTGTTTAAAGGACAGTCTAATTCTGCTAATTCTCCTGATCAAAAAGCAAAATAAAACCATGGCTTCTGTCTTTTGCTGGCTGCATATCTACTCTTTTCCCACATTCAGAAAATAAACTCTTTGGAACTTTTTGCTACTCCTTTCATGCTGCCCTTCTTCCTTGGCTTACAGAGTAGCTGAATTCATCCTATGCCATAATGGCACTTTAAACAAAATGCAGATGTATTCTCAATTGAAAGTCAGGCAGGTATTTATCTTCTTCATCTGCCATTCCTGTATCTGGTCCTAATCCTCCCTGGAGTACATCCAGATGTGATCTAATCAGGGTCAGTCCTCCTGAGAAGTACCTGTGCACACTGGGGTAGGGACAGGGCAGAAAAGTGACTCACATGTAAAGACTGAGCCTTGAAGAGTTACAAGTTTGCTTATACATTAAAGTTTATGAGACAGACATTTGAGGTAGCTAACGTGCACTTTTATATTCAGATTTGATAACATATGCTAAAATCTGTGTGTAGTGGTACTGCTGATATCACTAGAAAATATTGAAATGCTTAGAAATAGACAACAATTATAGTATCTTTAAAACTATTTACTAATGAAGCACTCGAAGTCCCCGAGTTCTGGGTTAAGTAGTATTTGTGGTAGTTTCATGAGGAAGAGGATAGTCAAATATGCAAATTCGAATGGTAACTTAAGTACCTATTTGTGAAAACTTCAGTAAAAACGTACAGTCTTGATAAAATCTGTGAGACAGCAAAAGGTGGGTGACCAACATTAGCTGAAAAATGCAATTAGATGATGAATTTGCTCTTCCAGCTTACTGAGGTACTTTATAGGTCTGTAATCTTTTCTTCCATCCTAACAATGCATTTATTTTATTGATGCTAAAATATTATGTGCCAGTGCAGCTTAGACCTGGCCAACAGTCAGATTTGCATGTGATTAAAGCCAGTCCCATTGAGAATTCTGTATTTGTAAGGTGGCAGGGACTTCAAAGCTGTCCATTTTGACTATGGAAGTCTAAACAATTTTGTTTGGCTATTTATGAACTTGAATAACAGTGCAACTTCAGTTTACATGAGTTATTGGTTTTCATTGAACTCAACCTTTTTTGTAATTTTTCTGAAGGATGAAAGGCAAGACACTAGCTCAGAAGGAGTATCCAATGTAGAAGATCAAAATGATTCTGATTCAACACCCCCAAAGAAAAAAATGAGAAAGACAGAAAATGGGATGTATGCATGTGATTTATGTGACAAAATATTCCAGAAGAGCAGCTCATTATTGAGACATAAGTATGAACACACAGGTATGTACTAGGAAAAGATGTTTCCGATCATTATTTTTGTGTAACTGATAATCTCAATTATAATCCAGTTTTCCGACACTTTAAGTGTAATAGTCCTTCTTATTGCTTGTGATCAGCTTTCTTTAGAAACCCATGTTTTGTGTATTTTTTTGACAGAACAGCAATTCTTTCTTTCTTTAAATTTGTAAGACCTAAATCCTAAATAGAAAAAGGGGAAGTTTTGCATCCGGCTTATGAATAATCAGCTTCAAGCCACAGCCTGTAATTGAGGAAGTATTACTTCTAATTTACCTTGCCTGGTTATAAGTTAAGAAAAATTAAAAATATGAATTAGGAAAAAAGGATCATGTATGTACATGAAAGGCAGTGTATCTATCTGGCAAGAAGGATTTTCAAACTGAGCCACATTTGTAATGATCTGAAGTTAATAGCTTCAGCTATTCATTGGACATAGAATCTAACCCCTAAAGAACACCCTTTTCACTTTGATTTTTATTTTTAATTTTTCATAGTTGTTCCTTTTGGCTCCAGTTCTGGTATCTTTAGGATTTTATTAGTAACTCTTGCTCTCTTATTTCTTCTGTGATGTCTTAAAATAAAAATTCTTTTTTTTACTGGTTAGGTGCCAAATATATATTGGATTTTGTATTATATATTTCTTTCCTGCTGGCTCTATATTTCCTCTTTCCCCACATCCAGAAAATAAACTCTTTGGAACTTTTGGATACTCTCTTCATGGTGCTCTGCTTTCTTGGCTTGCAGAGTAACTGAATTATTATATTATATTATGTTAATTCTATTTCTACATATTATTGTTTTATTGTCATCTCACATATAGAGTTAAAAAGATAACAAATTCTCTTTTTTCTTTACTACTTGATCAAGTTTCTCAAGTTGTATTCATTAGGCATATCTAATTTCACACCTTTCCTGTCCTGAGACTCTTTTAACTCCTCCTTTTCCTAACACAATTGTTCTTTCCATTCCAGTTTTAATAATGAAATGTTCAAATCATAGAATCATTTAGGTTGGAAAAGACCTTTAAGATCATTGACTCCAACCATTGACCCAGCACTGCCCAGCCCACCACTAAACCATATCCCAAAAGTGTCATATCTTACATGTCTTTTAAATCCCTCCAGGGATTGTGACTCAATCACTTCCCTGTTCAGCCTCTTCAAATGCTTGATAACCCTGTGGGTGAATGAATTTTTCTTAATATCCAATGTAAACCTCCCCAGGCACAACTCGAGGCCATTTCCTCTTGTCCCATCACTTGTTACTTTGGAAGAGAGACCAACACCCACCTCGCTGCTCCTTTGGCATAATGGATGTGCTGATCATCTCTATTGTGTGACCAAAAAGCTGCTGTCTCATTGTCTTCAACTTTTATGTCTGGGCTACAACTGTGAACTTGTTTTGTGTAACAACTGTGGATGCTGAAATCAAAATAACATTACTAGGCTCCTGATAGGTTTATGAGAGACTCTAAAAACAAGACAAAGTAGAAAGCTGGAAAACAGAGCAGAAAATGAACTGAGTGAAACGAAGCAGATTTTTCTTGTCAATACATGTGTAGTCAGCAAGTTTTGTAGATAAAGCATTTACCTGTGTCAGCCTAGATTTTAGAATGATTTTTCTTTTACCTGTCACATGGAAGAAGGACTTGGTATACAAAAACCAACATAAAAGCTTAATTGATTTCAAATTACCATCAATATAGAAAAGTTAAAATGGTTTTGAGTTGAAGTAGTTTACTGCAAGAAAAATGTTTCCTTTTCTAATTTTTATTTTCACTTTTTTGTGCTAAAAGTTATATCCGAGAATCTGTTTGTCCTTCCATGATCAGATTTCCTGAAAAAACTTACAAATTACCCTTGTAATTGTGACAATGTAACCTTACACCCTCCTCCTTTGGGCTCAGGTGGGAAACTCAGGCTGATAATGCGTAGAGTAGAACATCTTGTTAAATAAAGTTTAATCATTGTTGCTAACACATTCACCACCAGTATTTTACAATGAAAACAACAGGGTAAATTTTTAGAACTTCAACTACAAGGTGCCCATTGTTTGTGCTTTATTTTGTAGGTAAAAGACCTCACGAGTGTGGAATCTGTACAAAAGCGTTTAAACACAAACACCATTTGATCGAACACATGCGACTGCATTCTGGGGAAAAACCCTACCAATGTGACAAATGTGGAAAGCGGTTTTCGCACTCGGGGTCTTACTCTCAGCACATGAATCATCGCTACTCCTATTGCAAACGAGAGACAGAGGAGCGTGACAGCACGGAACAGGAGGAGACGGGCCAGGAGGTCCTGAGTAGTGAGCATGTGGTTGTCAGGGCATCTCCCTCGCAGATCGACTCGGATGAGAGAGAGAGTCTAACCAGGGAAGAAGAGGAATACAGTGAAAAAGAGGAAGAGGAGGAAGAAGAAAAAGATATAGAAGGACTTCAGGAAGAAAAAGAATGTAGGGAACTACAAGAAGTAGAGGAAGAAGAAGTAGAAGAGGAAGAAGGGAAAACTGAAGGTAACAAGAACGATGAAGCTGTAAATCAAGCAAGCAATGCAGAACCAGAAGTTATACAAAATAATGGGCAGGTGTCAGAAGAAAATAATGAATAAAGCTTAAATGCTAGGTTTTTTTCTATACGGAAAGAAAATGGTAATGAAGTTCGTTCTATATTATACATGCTTTTCATGGAAACGCAGTAGCCTGCATACTGTGATTTCTGTTCACTACTGTGTAAAAAAATATATATATAAAAAAAAAATGAAAAGAAAAAAAAAAAGAAATCCAGGTGTGCCTGAACCTCAAACTTAGTAATTTTTCACACAGTTTTCAAAGTTAGGAACAAGTTTATAACATGAAGCAGATTAGAAAAATACAGTGACTCTGGAAGCAAAGATTTAACAGGTTGTAGGAAACCTGATTTATAGACAAGCATCTGGCATTGTTTGTTTTATCAGTATTACTTTTCATTCTTAAGTTGATTAATTTTTAAACTGTACAATTGGGAGAGATTTATATGATTTTTTTTTTTACAGTAAAACATTTCCTAAATCCGCTTCAGTATTTTCTTATGTTTTAAAATGTGAGAACTTCTGCACTACAAAATTCCCTTTTGCAGAGACCTGTAATGCAGTTGCAAACAGTGCTTGGCTACCTTTGTAAATTCAACCTAGAAGGTAGCGGTTTATGACATTAGATGTTGTAGTAGAGCATATTATCATTTAAAGTGTATTGTTAGCCTTAAGAAAGCAGATGATAGAAGAACTGAAGTTTCTTACTCATGTGGTTAAAAATGTAGTTGAGAAGATTGTCGTTGAGTTCTGATTGCAGGGACTAACAGTGTTAATACTGGTAAGGACAGGAAAGTCGTCAAAAACAGTGTTTGTAATTGTGTTTTGAGTATGTAGTAACAATATGAAGGATATGATATGAAGCTTTGTATCTCCTTTGGCCTTATGCAAGACCTGTGTGCTGTAAGTGCCATTTATCAGTATTACAAAGGCTCTAAGCAGCCTTTATCCAATGTGTGGCCTACAATAACTAGCATTTGTTGATTTGTATCAAACTTCTAAACTATACATGGGGAAAAAAACACTCAGCCATCAGAGAAGTAAGAACACTGGTATATTTCATTATTTAATTATTTGGTGGTATTTTGGGTTAATACCTGACTTGCAGAATTTCTCTACAATAATTACAAGGGAAATTTTCTAATCTGCTTTATTGCTTTATTGGTTTACTTTAATTTCAGACACATACATGACATGTTATCTGGCTCATAAGTATTTTCAAATGTTAGTTATTATGGACCCCATTTATTAACAATGTTAGCTGATTTTTACCTATCAGTATTATTTTATTTCTTTTAGTTTATAGATCTGTGCAACATTTTGTACTGTATGTCTTCAAACCTGGCAGTATTAATACCCTTCTTACTGACATATGTACCTTTTTAGTTTTAGAAAACTTTTATATTTATGTGTCTTATTTTTATATTTCTTTATTTATTACACAGTGTAGTGTATAATACTGTAGTTTGTATTAATACAATAATATATTTTAGTATGAAAATTTGGAAAGTTGATAAGATTTAAAGTAGAGATGCAATCGGTTCTCTTGCATTGAGATTTGATTTAACAGTGTTATGTTAACATTTATACTTGCCTTGGACTGTAGAACAGATGAATTAAAATGGGAATGTATTAATTTTACAATTGCAATTAATTCATTTTACCTTTACCCAGTTTTTAATATAAAGCTCTTAAATTTTGAAATTCACTGTGTGACTAATAGCATGATGCTCTGCAGTTTTCTTAAGAGATTAGTCTAACCATAAAACTCTCATTTCCTTAGTAAGCCAAATTAGAATAATCTTATAAACAGTGTTGGGAACAATGTTTAACATTTTCGTGCCAATTTGTTCCTGTATTCATGTATGTATGTTACAAATCTGAAACTTCATTTTTAAGTTCCTTGTTACATCATGGTCATTTTCTAGTTTTTTACCAGACTCCCCATCTCACAATAAAATGCGTCAACAAGTCTGACTTACTGTCATTATTCTGGTAATTTAGAAAATGGGTTTAAATTATTTCTATGAGATGCTACTCAGACACAGTTCCTGCTTCAGTGTCGATACTCAGTTTCAGTTGTACATAAGGAGCACGGAAGTGAAAGAAAGGTTGGACTGTGTGCAGGCACAGGGATTACTACATTAGTTTATTGATTTACCAGCGTTAGGAGAACAACTGAGTTTTCAAAACCAACCCTGTGGTTTTGGGATTTATTTTTTCTTGCTGTATCTGTCTAATATACAGTTTAACGCTCTCTTTCAATAAGACTGCTTTTAAATGAGGTAAGTCTATGACCGTTTTCTTGACTTAGCAATAAACTAGTTGTCCGTGACGAGGTTAATGTATATATTGCTGTTCAACTTTCCAAAGAAGTAGTGCAACGTTACAGATATAGAATTTCAGCAATGTAAGTATAAAGCCTTGAAAGTTGTATTACATATGCATGTTTACAGTGCTTTGCAGTTTAAGCAAAGTTTACAGACTGGTCTTTAAGCAAAATTCTGTTCTTTAATGATCTCTCAAATTCAATCTCAGTTGCTAATTTGGGGAGTTATTTTATATGAACATCATGTAAGGTTTTTTTATATTTACATACTTAAGTGTTGGATAATTCTCAATCTTTTCATCTCAGCATTAATACATAGGAAGGATTTAGCCCATATATTAATCGTTTTACTTTGTCTGCATTTTGCTGTACAGTATTCCAATATTGCACTTTTAAGTGGAGTAAGCTCCAACTCAGTAGTATCATTGAGGTAAATAAGAGAAAGCAGTTTTGAAAAATATAACCATTTATATTGTATCAATAATATTGCCTTGTAATTATTATCATAACAGAGTTAATCAGGTGGTTCAGAATTTCTCACAGGTAAAACTGTCTCTGCTCTGTTCTAGGTAATGAAATGCACTTTTTTGAAACTATTTGAAGATTTTCCCTATTTTTCATATTCCAAGATGTCTATGGTAATAAACCCAGTGAGACATTTGTTGAAATGGGAAAATTTTGCTGGCTTTTGTATTAGAACAAAGAATTTTAATAAACCCAAGGTTACTCACATAAGTGACAGCTGAATGTGAAAGGCCAGTAACTTGGATAGAGAATAAAGTCCAAGCAATTTTGCTTCAGGAAATGTCATTGGTTTGGGGGAGGAAATTTATATTAATTACTTAGACTGTGAAACCATTATTAACATTTTTATCTTCAAGATGGATCTGTGTATTGAATTTGCTATCTGTTAAGCTCAGAGATGTCTCTGGTGTTTGTGACCTTATAACATCATTTATTATCCATTTGAAAAATGCAAAAACTCTGATGTATCTTCATTTGGCTGAGTAAACTCATCTGGAACCCAGAGGTGCTTAGGAGACACAGGCTCTGCTCCCAGCCCTGTCAGTGAGGTGCCTGCAGTGCAGATTCCCAGTGGTGTAGAGATGGCCAGGCAGCTGTGAAGGAGTCCAAACTCCAGGGCACCAGCAGTCCAGCTGCTGCCACATGGACCTTCTCTAAATTAATGGCAAAGCAGTTTAAAGGACAGCAAGTCACACATGGGGAAAAAAAAAGTGAAAGCAAAAGTGTAAAGCCTTTGCACTCTGTCCTTTAGACATAAATAAAAGTTGGGGAAGAGCAGCAAACATGGAATGTGTAGTTTTAATGAAACTCCACTGTCCTATGACCCGTTCTTCAGTTGGAAGATGAAAAGTTAATCAGTTGCCCTGTGAGCCCAGGCTGGTGCCTGTGCCTGCTTCTTCCTCAGGCTCACCGTGCATGGCTCATCCTAGCACAGCAATCAGGGACAGGCATCAGTCCAGCCTGACAGAAAGAAAAGTGTCCTTTGGATGCAATGTGGAACAGAGCACTGCTGTGCCTGATGTGCTGGCTCTTTTTCTGCTACTGACCCATCTCTTGGCTCCAGAGTATAATGTGTTACTGTTTCAAAATCACAATTTCAAAATTGTGTCAGTTGCTATGTCCTCTTTTATCGAGTAATATGAAAATAGGAAAAATACTACAGAACTATAGGAAGAATGTTACAAAAGTAAATACTAATTTAATGCCCTGGGAAGTGGAATACCCTTCTGTGATCCTGAGCTAATAGGAGTAGAAAGATGGACTTAAGGCTGCTGAGAAAAGTAGAAGAGACCTTGAGGAGCAGTAACTGCTCCTTCTCTTTCAGTAATATTTATGTGGCATCCTAGTGGTGATTCTGGTGGCATTCTCAAATTCTCCATAGCCTCATTGCTGTCTACTTGCTGTTTTTCTGGAGCAACCTATACATATGTGTAATTGGTAACAGCAATATTCAGCAATGATGGATACATGAGCTTAAATGAATTGTTTTGAATTACAAATAAATTAATATATACTAAAAAAAGAAATGAGGCAGTTTTGTTACTGTGGCTAATCTCAGAGTGACAGTGTATTTCAATAACTATCCTAAATTTTAGTAGAAAAATAATGCACCATGGCATATCATCCCAGAACATAACATAGTTACCCTGAAAGGCACTGTTGTTCAGACTGGGTAAAATGTGCTTAAACTGGCAACAAATTTTTTGTTCACACTCTTGAGTAAAATTATTCTAATACAATTATTGCCAGTAAACCCAAAGTCACTGTCTATACGAGCAGCACTTTACCAATGTTTGTGCTGGTAAAGTGTACCTGGTGCCTGGAATGGTGGTGGCCACCAGACCGAGTGGCAATTTGAAAACTAAGCCATTTACAAAAGAGAAAATATGACACTACTAAAAACACAGTTTTTACCACAGCAAAATGCTACACTGGGGCTTTTATCATCAAAGCAATGAAAGATCAGGAGTTCACACTCCAAACCAACAAAGAAGTCTACAATAGAGAAATGAAAATACTTTCCAGAAGACCATTAGAGGTAAAGATAATGATTTGAGGATGAGAAAAGTTCATTTTGGTCCTGGAGGCTGTAGTGAAGATAGGTGATGGCTTTTGAGCAGAGAAAGACAGAGGAAAAAGCTTAATCTGCACTGTCCTGAGCACTTTTTCAAAGTGTGTTCTTTTTAGTTTATTTACTACCAGTGTATAAGTCTGTGCACAATTCTCTGCTTGGATAGAGGCTTTGTTGAGTGTTTTGCAGTTCACTTTCTGGTACTTCAGCAAAAAAGTACTTTTTTTTCTCTTTCCTTTGCAGAATATTTTGTTTAATTGTCCCTACAATAAAATCTCTAAATTTCATAGTGGAAATTCAATATTAGAGTATATTTCAAGTCTGTACTTTGTCATTTATTGCTCATGTTTTTCTTGGACAGTTGTTCTAACAATATTTGCACGGTCTAATTATCACCAAAAAAATGACAAAGGAGTGTGATGATCAAATTAACTCTTAAAAGTGATCAAATATTTACAACTTTTGTTGCTCTTTCATGACCCCTGGTCACTAATCTGTCTCACAGTCAGATGTATGTATTATGCCTATCATACACATTGTATATGTGTTGTCCCTAGGGGAAAGAATATATTTCATTGCTTCACAAAAAATAATCTGGTGGGGGTTTTTTAACTATATTTAGAATATATACAGATAGTTGGGATTAAACATGAAATGTGCTGGTGTCAGGAGCACTTTTGTGGCAGAGCTTTTCCTAGTAGCTTGCCAAATGTGAAAGTCATGTAGTATTAATCTACAACTAGGTAAAGTTCTCCAAGGCCTTACCTCTACACTAACAGATCCTCCAAAGATCTTTAAAAATTGTGAGGACAGTGCAAAGTGATCTTTAAAATAAATATATTGAGAATGCCATTTTGGTCTTTTCTTTGGTTTTCTGGTGAGTCTCAAGTTCTGTGATTCTGCTTTTAGTGTTTAACATTTCTGTATTGGGGACTGTCCTTGGGTTTTGCTCATCTTTGTGTAAACTAGGGTTTGTGTAATAATCAGAAGATTTGCATTGCATGTTAATTCAGGAATTAAGGGGATAAATTATTAAACACAAAAACCCCTGAAACATGCCTACACTAACTTGGTATCATTCCTGCTGAGCTTCTGTTCCTGTTCTATTTGAAAAGCTTGCTCACTTTTAGCTCACTGTGGGCCCAAAGAAAGGCCACAAGTCTGAGAGCACTTAGTATGACTGAGTCCTGTTTCCATCTCTTACTCTTCAGCTGCTCTCTCTTTAGGCCAAATTCTGCCATGACTGGTGATGAATATCACCAGAATCCTTGAATTCTGTGAAACTTTATACATTTTTTATGACAGGTAAGCTATGACAAAGGTATAGAGGGAGCATTTTACTCTTTCAGTGTCCAGAATCTGTTGAACCAAATTATTCAAGAAATAAGTTAATTGGAAAATCATGCAGAAAATAACAAGGGCTTCCAACAGCATTGAAAGGCCATGTCACTGTACACAAAAGGGTGCTTGGAATTGTGCCTCCTCCTCAGTCAAAGCAATCTAATAATAGAAAAACATCTCTGTGGACAGTAGTCCTCAACTACTTCTGTGTAATGCTGTCGCTGGTCTCCTCCAAACCAGAAGCTGAGCAGCTGTTTGACTTGTACAGACTCCATATGAGTCCTTGTGAGCAGTAAATGTTGGACTGAAGAGGAGGAAGGTTTAACCTTTCCAGGGGTCAGAGTTGGTTGTCCTACCAGCAGCACTTTTCCATGAGCTGCTGCTGCTTATATGGGCCAGGCAATATTTGAAGTGGTCATGGTCACAACCCAGCCAGGGCAAATGATCTCAGCTGTGGTTGCAGAGGTAACAGGGGCTTCCATCAAGGCAGGCTGACTCAGTTGACCTCGAGTGAGCTTTTTTTCCTTCATTTGGATGGCTCCACAGAATGCCTCTGGCAGGAGTCGGCAGCCGTGCTTTGGAAGACCTGCTGCCCTGCATCACCCAAGCCCAGAGAAAAGCTACCCCTCAGTCTGTAAATTACAAATTCTTGAGAACAGTCACTCGTGTGTGCCCAAAAGATGACATTGTCTTTAGAATCCTCTTTTCATC